CATTAAATTTTCTTTATCCTAAATCCAGTTTTTGATCCTTCGGAGTGGTTCACAGATTTCTTCTTTCATCAAGGCTTCCTGATTGTTAAGTAAAGCATAAACACATACTTGAAGTCTTGAAATCAAATAAGATTTTCAGTCAGTTCTTCCTCAATAACATGCAACTGGTTTAGAAATCTACTCTTCTTTTTACTAGCAGGTGGTAACATGGTCATATCAGAAATAATCATATTTGGTTTCAGATATAGACCTAATTACAATCTTTGTATAGACTATCCAGTATTATGAAAATCTTGATTTTCAATGTAATATAATAAAAACTATTAATCATTTTGATCTGCATCAGCTATACTAAGAAATATCAGTTATATAGGGTTAGGTCAATGGATGATTTGCCAGATTCTATCTACTTTTAATTCAAGGGAATCGCATTAGCCCCTTGAAGGATTTGAACTTGCATCTTGTAATCTGATCTACAAAATGCTAATCGCTTCACTATTGACTCATAGGTCTAAAGAATCAGTTAAATAATTTGACTATAATATATATATTTTTGTTTTTTTTTTTGTTTGATTGATACAACCATGTTTTATTATTTTTTCCAAATTATATATATAAAAGTAACTAAGAATAGAGTACAGGGATGTATATTCAGTAATAGTAAAACCTGATAAGTTATTTGTTACTTCGTGACCAGTTGCTCTTTTCACAGGGAAAAGAAACTAATATGCCAAGGCTATCTAGTTGTCATATAAAAAGATAAAAGAGAAAAAATGTTCATCTGATACTTTATAAATTTATTTATATATCTGTTTATTATTCTTGTTAGATCTAAAAGTGATTTCTATACTGTAACTGGATTTGTGTGCTTCTTTTACTTCCCTGTCTTGTTCTTTATCCATTTATTCTATACCTAAATACTCTTGATCTTTTTCAGATTATGCATTTCTTTACACCTTAGCTTCTATATGTTATATATGAGTTCTTTCTATTTATTTATCCTATTTGTGATAGTCTTGGATTTGGCCCTCCTGTCTATCAAGATTATTTCGAGTACTTCTGATATTTCTTTCAGGACTACCCCTTTTATGAGAAGTTTAAGCTTCCTTGGGTTGTTCAGCTTAAGCCAACTATATATAATGTCCTTAAAGTTTTTCTTATATTTCTTTTTGACCTGTGAGGATACATTTCCTGTAAAGGTTTTTCTTTAGTTTTTCTGTATTGTTGCCATATAGAAATGGGTGTATCATATTTTCAAATGTTCTACATTTGGTGCATTTATTGTTTTTGTAGATTGAGGAGAGTCTGCAGTATAGTTTATACATAGTTGAAAGCTCTTTATACTAGAAGTTAAATCAAAACTTTTGCATATGATGATCTTGTCTTGATGTGTTATGTACATTCATTTTGAATAAATGTATATTGTTAAATATATGCTACCAGTATATGTCTCTAAAGTCCTTAGCTATAAAGCTGTTTATATTCTGTTAAGTAGTTTCCACTTGGTTAGTCTGATAATCTTGTTGACTTGTTTTACTAGGTTTTTCTCTGGAATGTCTATTGTTGTAGTGTCCCAGATTATCTTCACTAGTGAGGGGCTCTGGTATTGTTCCTTTATATTTATAATTTTCTTGTTAGGTTTCATGTGCTTTAAGATGGGATCAATTCTAGTTAGCCTATCTGCTTCTTCATTGAGGAGAATACTAATATATGTCTTTACTTTATATAATATTATAAGTAGATCCTATTGTTGCCTTATATAATTTAAAGTATTGATTATTGCATGATTTGGCTTCTTTATTTTCATAAGTCTTATGTGATTCATGATTTCTATTAGGTTTGTTATTATAGTATGACTATCTGTATATAAGTGAACTGTCATATTCTTGTTAATAGTACTTATCACTATTATTATGGTCATCATTTCTAACCTGATTGATGATATATGAAGTTGGGTCTGTCCTTGAAAGGAGTGTTCTTTTCCTGTTTATCTTTAATGATCCAGTCAAATCACATATGTGGTCTGTTTCCATGACTTGATACTGATCCATATGTATAGATAATGGCCAATCTATAGACTCTTATATATCTTTGTATCATAGTCAAGGTGTCCAGTCTATTTTGTCAAGATTAAAAATCTTTCTGAGATCAACTATTCTCTAGTTGATGTTATTGATATTGAGCTATATGTAAGGTTCCACTGTTTATGGAAGGTCAATAAGATCCTTTAATTCTTTGATGTTGAACTTTATAGTAATTCTGCAATAAAGTATAGTTGTGATCTTATTCTTATTTTCCTTGTTTGAAATACATGATTATTCTATTGGAATTTGGATTGTGTATTGCTTTTTGGTTGCAAATATGTATGTTTCTAATGGAGTGTCAGGCCCTTTATTTGATTGTATCCTTCACACCTTTTTAGTAATTATTGTTCTCCTATTCTAGTGTAACATATGTAGACTACTGTGTTAGAGCTATCATTGCATTTTTTCTTGCTTATAACTACTTATTTTTGTTTGAGTGTAACCCTCCAGTATGGTCTATAGATATCATCTTTGTTTGTTAGGGATCTGTCTTAATTAAATGTTCAATAGTTGTGGGTTTATCTTCCATTCTATCTTGTATTCTGGCTAAGCTTGTAAGCCTTGCTAAGAGATTCTTATACCATTTTGGACTGTCTCTTTTACTTGTTCTTTTTATGGCACCCAATTCACTCCAATATAATATCCTTGTGCCAGTGGAGTTAGTTATCTATCTGATAAACATTGTGTTGTATCTCTGTAATATGTATCCATATTGATTGTACATAGATTCTGGAATTATCTCTTCTATTATGTCATCTATCTTTCTTATTCTTTGAGAGATTGTGAACCTGGGGTTAAGGTGAAACTAAAAGTCATGTTTCCTTAGATTTACAGAATATCATGGTCTAAGTTCTTTCCTGCTTTGAGGGAGGGCTGGATAAGATATGTTGTTATAGTGTTAGTTGACTCGAACAGGTTCTGTAGATTTTGAAGTCCCCTCCTGAATATATGTTTTAGCATATCCTTGTTTTCCATTCTTTCTATCCAGTTCCTTGCATGCAATTGCATTTATCTATCCCAAATATAATTTATATTATATTCTGCATAGTTGCATATGAGAGTATTAGGAAAGGTTTGATAAGTTTACATTTGTGTTTGTATCTTGTTGCAATCTTTTTCATCAAAAGATTACATATGTTTTTGGAAAGTATTATATCATTCTGTAGATATTCTATACTTGATATAAGAATGTGATTTATGATATATCTCATCTGTTTATCTTTTTTTATTTTCCATTCTATCAGCTTGTATATTTTTTTTTTACTTTTTCAATAATAAGTTACTTTTGATAATCTTTCTTTCCTATACTATCCAGTCATACTTCTAGCATCCTCATTGGTATATCTAGTTTGTTACCTTGGATAATTCTGCCTTTAAGAGTGAAGCTATGATTGAAGTCTTCTGATTGTCTATTAATAATGATCTGTTGTGATTTTGCTATGGTGTGGAACACCTAAAGCCCGAAATAAAATACACAACTTTCAAAACCCTAAGGCTTTTATATTGGAGAGTTTAGACAAAAACTAATCTGTAAGAATGATAGAGCAGATGAATTAGAATAAAAGTTATGGTTTAGAATTTTTAATTAATTAAAAAAGTTTTGAGTTTTAAGCATTTGAAAAGCAACAGTTTTTCTTAAGTTTCTTAAGAAAAAAATGAAAAATTCAGACGTCTAGTTTGTGCAATTTATTTGTGTAACATTTCATTATTCAATAAAGTGAAAGTTTAGTATTATTGTTCTCATAACATTCTTTATTGTTTTAATATGCCTCGACCAAATAAAAAAAAAAGCCGCACATAAACAAGTGTCTCAAGATAAGAGAGACAAATTTATTAAAGAAGATGAATTCAACCCAATGGATATAGAATTAAGCACATTCAAATTAATGGAAATAGGATTGAGTGATGATTCATCAGGTAAAAAGTTTTGGAAAACGATGAGGTAAGGTATTGGGGAAGTGATGTTGATTCAGCAACAAAACAAGATATTCAGGACAGGCTTTCAAAAGATAACATTTGGTTGAAGTGGAAAGTGGATACAAGTATAGAGAAAAGTAGACGTGGTCCTTATAACATAGGGAACCCACCAAAATTGACATATTATGATAAATGGGGGCCGAGTGGTTTATGGACAATAGCTGCAAAGGGAAGTCTAAAATTAGAGAGGTTTTTTAACCAAACAGCTGCAGAAAATAATCACAAATTGAATCAGAATAAAATGTTTCATCAGATAAGGAGTTTGTATTGCCATCGAAGAATAATGTAATAAGTTTAGAAAAAAATTTAGAGGAAAATTCCAATAGAATGTCAGTACAAGAGTATGTTAAAAAGAGAGTTATATTTGAGTACTTAGTGCGCTTACTAAAAGATGAGAAAAAAATGAAGACAAGTATGGAAGCAGTAAAGATGGTGTATAACAGTGAGCATAAGTGGACAGCTACCTGGGTTCAAGAGAAGGCAAAGTATTGGCACAACAATTATACGTTACCTATATCGTGTCAAGGAAAACATCAAAAACTAAGTAGAATAATTGATGACAAAGATATAGCAAAAAGATATTATATGTGGATTTATATAAACAGTAGCCATACAATGTCACATTAATTCAAAGAATTTGTTCAAGAATCACTATTACCAGAAATAGGGACTAACAAAATGATTAGCACAAAGATGACACGTCGATAGTTAAGTATTCTTGGATATCATTATCAATAACACAAATAAGACATATAATATGATGGCCATGAGAAAGAAGATGTTGTTGAATATTGGCAAATATTTTTATCAGAAATGGCAAATTCAAAAAATATATGGTGACATATAAAGGAGAAGATATGAATAGAATTGCACCTATATTAAATTTCAGAGAGAAGGAGCACATATTATTCATTTACAATGAATACATTTTCTATTCAAATGACGGAACATGTGAAACATGGTCTAAATCAGGTGAGTTGACACTATGCAAAAAAGGTAATAGGAAATCAATCATGGTGAGTGAATTTTTAACTGAAGCTTGTGGAAGACTTAAACTTACTGCTGAACATATTGAGAGTTATCCCGATGTTCCAGAAGAGGCTCGAGTATATTTAAAACCAGGAGTAAATGAAGAAGGATACTGGACAGCCACACACCTTATCAAGCAAGTCGAATATAAAGCCATTTCTATATTTGAGGCTTTATTCTCAAATTGCATTGCAGTATTTGCATTTAATAATAGTTCAAATAATTCCACATTTGCAGCTGATGCATTAGTTGCAAAGAGAATGAATATTAGACCTGGTAGAAATGTACCAAAAATGTGGGATACTTTTTGAGATCCAAATAATGAAAGACAAAGTATTAATTTTCCCGATAGTTAACCAAAAGGTATAAAGCAGATTTTGAATGAAAGAGGACTGTGAAGAAAAAATATGGTAGGTGAATATAGATTATGTCGAGATGGAAATACTGATCCTTTATGTGTAGATTGTTACGGAAGAAAGATTATATCTCTTCAACTGGACTTTTTGGCTCAAAGATCAGTATTGGTTGAAATAATCGAAGATTCAGGTCACGTCAGTATATTTTTCCCAAAATTTCACTGCAAATTAAATTTTATTGAATAGTATTGGGGAGCAGCCAAATGATTTGCATGAAATAATTGTAATTACACATGGAATGGATTATAAGAAACAGTATCTCGTGCTTTTGATTCTGTTAATTTAATAATCATTTATAGATTTGCATGAAAAATGTGGTGATACATGGATTTGTATAGATAAGGAGTTACAGGTAAATTAGCAGAATATGCTGCAAGAAAATATAAATTGCACAGAAGAATCCCTGAACATGCATGGAAGGAGAAATTAAGAACAAATTAGTTTGATCAATTTTTTTAAATGCATTATATAAGTAAGTATGTGCTGTTTAATCTGCAATATTAATTTCAAGTTCAATATTAAAGTTTTGTTTTTACATAGAGATAATTTTGACCCGGAGTTTGAAATATCACAGACGAAAGTGTTATAATTTTCAAAATAAAGTGAAATTTGCATTATTATTTTAAATAATTTTATTGGACAAATGTCATGTGATTGATAAGTTATCTGCAGAACAAAATTTTAGACTGTTTGATCTTTAGGTGTCCCACACCATAGATTAATGTTGATGTTATTAATATTGTAAAATTCTATAGTTGTATCTAGAGCTGTTTGCATTTCTTCTGAATTATCTGCCAGTTATATAGTATCATCCATATATGCACTGACTTTGATGTTCAGATGGTATTCTCTGTATAGTGAGTCAATATTCTCTTTGAGTTTGGTTGAGTATCTGTATCCTACCCTTGATAATTTGATTTCTGTCAGGAGGGGGTCATAGAATATATGTCACAAGAGGGGAGAGATAGTGTCTCCTTGATTAATGCCATCTAGTACCTTATAACATGGACTTAGGCTATGTGTAGTGATAATTTTGTTTTCTCTTTTTCTAAGTAGTGCTTGTATGATGTTTATTGCCTTCTATAATATCTTTATGCATTTCATGACCTGTGCCAGTATCTCTATATTAATTGAATTATATACTTTTGTTATGTCTTGGTTCAGAATCCGGAGTTCATTCTTTTCCCTACATGTGTATTTTATGTAAAGATTAATTATATGTATGAGAGCTTATGTACTGCTGCCAAGGAGGACTGCCCAGTTAAGTTCACTGAGGATATTGTATTCTTTGCATATTCGTGCCAGGTGGTCATTGATAATTTTTGTAAAGATCTTTCTTCCTGCAATTAGCAATGTAATGGATCTAGTAATACTAATCCTATTGTTCCAATCTGTAGATTTGGATATAGAATATATATGTCCTGTACTCCATTCTCTTAGTATTTCTATTGAACAGGTTTGTCAGCCAGGTTAATACATTCAGTCCAAGGTGTTTATAAGTCAGATATAGTATATTTTTAGGGTCTGGTGCTGACTTGAAGCTTTAATTCTTTATTACCTTTTTCAGTTCTTAAGTGATAACCTGTTCTATTAGTTTATTATACCAGCTATCTAGGATCTCCTCTTTTGGTGTATATTGCCTTGTCCACTTGAGGAAACAGGCAATTGATGTAATTTTCCTATAATAGATCCATGTTGCAAAATGTTTTGTGGCTTTCCTTATTATTTCTTCTGGATCTGTGATTATCTTTATGTGTTTACCTTCCTCCACAATGAGTTTATTCATTACTATAGATCTATTGGGTCTCTTCAGGATACTGTTTATCATTATTTTTTTATTGTCCTGCAATCAAAGTTGTCTTTTTTCTATATGTTGCTACATCATCGTGTTCTGCTTAAATCTGATTATTATTATTATTATTTTTTTTAACCTGCAATCATGCCGCAATGGCATGTCTTTATTGAGATATTGAGAAATACCTAAATATTTTACAGACTTTCACAAAGCGA